CAGCAACATCCTCTCCCAGGTGAATGCTCCATGCTCCCTCTCCTGTCATCTATAAACACCCTACAGGCATTTCTGGCTGGTCCAGGAGGACCTGAGCAGAATGCCAAGGGTCTCATGTCCGGGCATGAGAGCGGCACTGCTTTTTTGCTCCCCTGAATGATTTCTGTCAAAACGGATGTAACCATCCCTCTAAGGAACAGAGAAAATGGAATACGACCTCAGATTCTCAGTTTTCTGTAAGTAACGAAAATACAGTTTTCCTCAGTGCTAGAATTGTTCTGGGAAAATCTACCTCATCTCACACAATAGTCATTTTTCCATCCCCATTGCCCATCATTCCATTGATTACATGCATATAACGTTTTAAGATCTACTGTACTTTTGTTTAGTAAACAAACTGTGGTGATATTAAGGCCTTCTAATGATTATTACATTAATAAAAAATATGGTATTCTTGTTAAGAAAAGATGAAGAAGAGGCTGTTTTAAGCAGTTACAATTGAAACTTGTTCCCTGCCTTCTCCTCGAGTTATCACAGAAGATTGAACAAAATACTATTGGCATGCTTTTTTTTTTTTCAGTCTTATGAAGTATAATAACTTAACTCAGAGCCGGTAAAAATCGTTCATCCTCACTGTATCCCCCACCCCCCCGCCCCCTAGAATATATAGACCAGCTCATTTTAAAAGTATAGCGATTCCGCAGAAGATTGATTCGTTGGTCCTAGATGCTAGGTTGTTCTAAAATTCCACATAAATGAAGAACAACAGTTGTGTAGTTTCACAGGGAAACAATTCCCATAATTTCTTCCAAAGCTCCGCCTGATCTAAAAGACCAAAACTGACATTCTCCTCATCCCAACGCGATGGTTTGAAATCCCAGCATGTATGCGCTAGACTTAAGAGTACTCCACAATTCAGGTCTCTTGTTTCACGCTTTTTTGCAGTAAGGCAGCCACTAATGACGTATCGAGTCTTTATAAGAAGGACTCTCAGCAGTGCAGCTATAAATCGACATATTCTCCCTTCTCCTTGGAGTTATCTTTTTGAGACTGAAAAAACAAAGGTTGCAGGAGGGAATCTGAGTCAACACAAACACGCGCAGCACCAGTCAGCCTTTTGACTATGGGGGGGGGGGGCTGCAGGTGCTGGGAGCAATGCATGTCTGGAGGCGTTGTGTGAATTGAATATGGTGTATATAGCTGTCACCTTATGACAACTCAATGAGGGGCACGGGTTGGGCTCTGTCTCTGACGCCTGTTTCCTAGGTGTTGGGGAATGTCATTGTTCAACTTAGATCAACCCTCAAGCTAGCAAGTATTAGTCTTCCTCAGTGTTCACCCTTGCACTAATCAGGTCTTGCAAAAGCGAAGTCTTACCTTTACTACTGTCTAAGCGGTGTAGTGAAGCCTCTGCAACTGACTAAATCAAAGTGCAGAATTTTAATTGGGTTTAAGGTTGGCTAAAGCATTTTCATTAATGCAGGCGGCAGCACGTCCCACAAATTAAAGATGCATAAATTATGATGACCTGAAAAAATAAACACAATAATGGCAAACCAGAATGATTAATGGCATGTGTGAGAGAAGATTGGCTCGGATGGTAAGCACAGGGAGATGATGGAGTGAGAAGCTGGAGTGAGATTTAATGAGGGGTCAATATCTGATCAATGCAGGAGCGAGAGGTGAGAGGTGACGACCGATTGAGCAGAGTGATAAGGACCAGTGTGGAGCAGGTTGAGTTAAGTGGGTTGATGCTTGATAAGAGGATGGCTGCTGCTTGGCTTGAGGAGTAAAGAAGATACAGTGGAAGAAACAACAAGGCTGCTTCTGTGGTTGCCATACAAAATAGTTAATTACTGTCAGTGCTGACTCGGAGAAAACCCTTTAAGCTACTGTAACTGTAGTTGCTGCAGAATGCTTAATTAACACGTTCAAATGCCTTTAGCATAAATCCTGTCAAAACTGTAGGGACTCTCACTTTAGAGAGAAGTGAGAGGGAGGAAACATACTGTCAGTAAGAGTTTGTCTGAAGTATGGTAGACGGGGGAACTTTAAAAATAGAGCTTTCAGGGTGTACTGAAATTTGTCTGCCACATTAAGTTACAAGAATTTTTTTGAAAGCGCGCGTGTGTGTAGGTGTGTGTGTTTTAGGTCAAGGACATGGGGAATTATCAACGATGCAAAAGTAACATATTTTCGAAGTTGCTCAACTTTTCCGGCTCACTGTGTGTTCAGTCATTGTTAAATACTACTAATTAGACACACTCCAACACATATACCACATACATACACATGCTACAAAAGGGCAAAAGCAGCCGGCTCTTTCATTCAGCTTAATGATTGCAAGATGTGTAGTGATCATCGTCAATAACCAAGTTCCCATTGTTGTTGTTGTAAGTAAAATAAAATAAGAAATATCAAGCTGGAATTGTCTCCCTCTGTCCTTCCCCAAGGCTATTGGCTATCACAGTTTCTTACAGTGCTCTTTTTTTATTCCATGGCTGCCTGCACTCATCCCTCCAGGCTACAATTCTGCTTGGTGTCCTGTATTATGTCCCCCTTCGGTTGGAAAGTGCTGATGTCATAATGTCTCTTGTAACTCATCATTACATTTCACCTGAGTGGCCTCGGCACCGGTGTTTGATCAATACTTGGGCCCATCTATATTTTATTGGCAGCGTGTTGAACAAAACATTTTTCATAACTTTTTGATGATGTGATGTATAGTATGCCAAAAAAGATAGTTTATTCATTTAGTCTGTCCTGTAAAATCCACAAAACAAGGAGAGGGCAAAAGAAAAAGAGACTATATAAATTTAAAAAGCCACAGGAAGATATGAGGAGATTTAAAAACGAATTCTCTACTTCTCAGTTCTGTTCAAACTTAACAGGAGCGTTTGAAAAGGTTCTTGCTGATCCACTGTCATTGTAAGGAAATAAAAAAGTAATAAATAATGCTGCTATTGATGGAAAAACATGCATTATCCTTTCAGTGGAGAGCCATCCTTTTTTTTGCTTTGTCAAGGTCATAGCAACAAAACCTGAATTAACCTATATATTAGTTTTATTTGTGTTGTAAAATGCATGGCCTTGTGTCATAGCTTGACAAA